ATTAAATTAATTTAAAGGGGTCATATGATGCGTTTTCAAGTTTTCCTTTCTCTTTGAAGTGTTACAAGCTATCTTTTTAGCAGCATCATATGACCCCTTTAACTGATATTAGCAAATCTAAGCAGCCAGAATATATAATAAAAATATTAAAATAAAATTGGATAAAAAATAAAGCTTAAATTTAAATTAAATTAAAAATTAAATTAATGAAACTGAAATGAACAAGTCTAAGCAGTCAGGTTGTCCAGTAAAAATATTTTTAAAATATTTAAAATTAAATCAAATACAATATAAAACTGTGAATTTTAAATAAAATATGTACTATAATAAAAATTACAATTATATTCATTTAATTGAAATGAACAAATCTGAGTAGTCAGGATATCTAAAAATATTGAAATTAAATCAAATGAAATATAAACACTCCTAGCACTCAATGTGAGATAATTAACATCATAATATTAATAATAATCATAGTCTGTTTTACTCTAGTCTCTGATTAACCAGTTAGCGACTGGTCAAAGTTTAGGGGCGTGTCCTAAAGCAGTGGGCCAATCAGATGCTCTCCCTCAGGAATATCAGGATTGCTCCAGAATTCCTGTTACTTCCCAGAAACCAGATGTCCATAAAACGTGACATTTATAGTCCTTCAAACAAACACAACTGCATCTGGAAAAACTAAACGCCACTACTGTGGTCTGAAGAGCGATTTTACACTCACTAACACCAATTTATGCAGTTTAGATTTCTGATAACTTTAAAAACACATCCCCTGTGGAACTTTACCGTGGTGTGAATATAATTTCCTATACATACATATATAACACTGAATTTTGGACTATGAAATCTGGACTACAACAAAAATTCAAATTAAAGTAATTAAACAGAAATTAACAAATCTGAGCAGCTAGGATATATAATAAAATAATTTTAAAATAATTTAATTAAATCAGAATAATAAATTAAAATATGAACACTCCCAGCACTCATTTTAATATAATTAACATAACCATATTAATAATATGGTTTTGATAAAGTTTTGATAAACTGTTTAGCAACTGGTCAAAGTTTATGGTGTGACTATAATTTCCTCCAAAATATTAATTTACTGTGCTTTTACTATAATATGGATCCAAGGTCTGGGCCTATATGGAATAACCACAATTTATTTGTAATGATTTAATCCTATAACACTGTGATGATTTTGATGCACTTGTATTTGTCCAGTTTTTCCTGCTGCATTTACTGTATTTATTTATTTATTTATTTGGAATGAATTTAGCTACTGGGTCAAAAAGAAGCATTCTCTAATAATAATAATAATAATAATAAAATAATAATTAAATATATAGTTTTAAAAATCAAAATTTGAAGCCATTTCAGAAAGAGAAAGAAAATGACTGCTTAAAGAAAATAAAACTATTAAACCAATGTCAAAAAGATAAAAAACTTTTAATCACTTTATCATGCAGTCCTAATGGTTACCATGGTAAATGTTCATGAGGGATGACCTGAGCTGTGTTTGTGGCATCTGTTGTGAATGGAACTCTTTAGATTTGAGCGTATGGTTAATTTACACCTGAATGTCTTTATAGATTGGCTGTGTGGGGCGACGGATCCACCGATGAAGCTCAGCCGCTGCAGGTGATCGCCGTGTGGAGGTCCGACTCCAGCCGCTGGAGTGATGGGACGTGTTAATGAGATCAGAGGAGGTGAGGAGGAGCAGGAGCGAGATCAGAGGTGACGAGAGGGTCGCAGGACTTCAGGACCCCCCAACCATCACTGACCATCTGTGTGTGTGTGTGAGAGAGTGTGTGTGTGTGAGTGTGTGTGTGTGTGCGTGTGTGTGTGTGT